TCAGGCCTGCAGCCCTGCAGCGGTGGGACCCCTGCAAATCCCCTGCAAATCTCCCAGCTCCTTCAAATTAGCATGCCTAAAACTGAACTTGGGGCCTGGGCCTCTCAGCCCCCCAATCCGTCCTCTTGCCCCCCAGTTTCTATTTCTGAAACCAGATGTATGTCTAGGACTCAATCTCTCCAGCAACACCTTCTGGCCATCCTGACTGTGTGACTGGAACTCTCCAGGCTGTGTGTGGGCCTCCCCTAGGCTTCACCCCTCCCTGCTTGTCTCTTCCCCACCCCATCTGTCCCATGCACCTGCCACTTTGGTCAGTCTAGAGCAAGACTGCAGCTCTGTCACCTCCTATTCAGCTGCACCCTCTGCAGCTTCCAATACCTAGAAGTAGGGCTGTCATTTCCACTTACATTTGGGGTCTTTTTAAATGTCACTGATTCTGGGAAGCCTCTCCTAACCTCCCCTCCATGCCTCCCCAGATTAGGGACATTCCCAGTTGTACCTGCCCCCCCCTGACACCTTATACATCTTCTCTGAGACTCTCATGAGATGATGGCTGGGGTGGTGGCACCCGGGCTTCCTTACCCCCCCACCCCTGCTTCCCTGGTAGCAAGAACATGCCTGACGCGAATAGGCACTCAGTACCTGGAGGAAGAGTCTAGCCTGTCACTCAAGGTCCTCAAGACTACAGCCTCAGTCTCTATCATCTCCCAAAGGAGTGTATGCTCTAATCTCCTCCCTGGCAGTCATCCACGCCTTCCTTCCTCCCCCAAGTCTTTGCTCAAATCATTCCCACCACTAGGCACGCTCGCTCTCCACTCCATCTTATCTGTGGTCATCCCACTTGGCCTCCCAGGCTCCAGCGCCAGGTGCTTTCCTCCAGGGAACCTTCTCTGAAATGCTCCCATTTGCCAGAGGCCAAAATGTCTTAGGTTCCCTATCTCCAAGATCAGAATGGAAACCCTGATCAGACAGTAACTTCCTCAAGAGCAACTTTAGTTTGAAGTTCATTTCTGTTTACAATGAAAACAGTTGGCTATGAAGCAAAGAGACACCTTATATCACGCTTGTACAAAGAGTATCTCGTCCAACTATGTCCTAAAGAGTGCCTTGTGTAATGACATGCACCTAATAGGGACAAAAGAATATTTTTCAATGAGTGAGAGATTTTCTCCCTTATACGTGAGAGAAGAGGAAGGAGAGTCCCCATGTACACACTCATTTTTTAAAATGTGCTTCTCTTATGTTTACAACATGAAAATGTGTGGGTTTTTTTTAACACCTTTATCTTTATGTGGTGCGGAGGATTGAACCCAGGGCCTCGCACGAGCTAGGTGAGGGCTCTACTGCTGAGCCACAACCCCAGCCCAAAATGTGTGTTTTCATGAGTGAACAAAATCTGTCTTCTCAGGTTTAATCTTTCTTTATTTAGGAAATGAATGCATGCCTCATGAACGGGATGGGGGTAGCGATTGTACTGCCAGTGTACCAGACACGCCACTGCGTAAGAGAAAAGGAATTTTTCCCGGAGCTGATATTTCCTGACAGATTCAGTAACATCTGTCTCTTGGGCCACTGAGGAGACCATGTCTGTGAAGGCATATGAAAAGTTAGGAAAAGAGGGAACCGCACTACTGGTAGCAATTAGTTTATTTTCAATATAAACTATTTTTGTTTATTTGTTTAGAAAGTAGAATCATTGGGATTCTCCAAAAATACCACCCCAACTTAAATCCATAGTGACAGAAAGCAGATGGGTGGTTGTCAGGTGACCAGGGAAAGGCATGATGGGAGCACACACTTAGCAGTACGGGGTTTCCTTTCATGGTGATGAAAATGTTTTGGAACTAGATCGTGGTGGTTGCACAATACTATGAAGGAACTGAATGATGTGGAATTATTTGTTTTTAAGTGGCTCATTTTATGTTGAATTGAACCTCAATTTTAAAAAAATACATATCACTTAATTAAAAATATACATATCACTTAAATAATGCCAAATTATGTCCTAAGTGTTGTAAGGGACTAGGCAGTGTTGTGTTCTGGAAGAACACCAGATCTCAGTTCCCACCATGGCCTGCACCTGGCCCTTGGGGAAGGAGTGGGGTCCCTCTGTACATTCAGGGCCATGTCCCAGTGTCCTCAGAGCCACTCGACTGAATACCATTACCAACCACCATCATTTTGTATCTGTATTTTTGCTTGTTCCCTGTCTTGGCTAATGTAAGTACTAGTTAAGGTGTTTAGTTTGACTAATTTAGCTCAGAGGTGGAGCCTAAAGCAATTTTTTTTTCTTTCTTTGAGTGGAACTTTCCAGAGACAACTCGCAGAGTGTAACAGGTTTCGCGTCTGTCCTCTGGGGGCCTCTTGGAGAAGAGGGAGGAGGCTCCTGCCCAACCGGCAAAGTCCCAGTAGAGCTTCTCCCCACTCCAGACAGGCCTGATCATAAAGAAGGCCGAGTGGACTAGTCCCAACAGCTCACAGTTTCTTGGGAAGCCATCTTCTGTCGTCTCATCAGGAAGGAACAGAACCTCTGTCACCAAGGGAATGCCCCAGCTCAGGTGCACATCCCAGAGGCCACTGGCCCCCCTTCACACTATGGCCTTCCACGTGGGGCCTGGTGGGGGCTCTGTGGCCAGCAGGGCTGGGCTGCCTATGGACAAGTATCCTATCCATCCTTTAAACACAGGGCTAAAGGAAAATCACATCCTTCATTTCAAATATGGCCCTGGAGCCTAGGGCCCAATGGCTGTACCATAATCAAGTTGCATCAGGCATCAAGGTATATGGGTTTTAAAGACTTGTTTCCTCCTGATTTTAGCATTCAGACATTGTCATATACCTTCACATAAATGGCCTTGTTGCTCACGTGTTGGAAAATAACTCCAGAAGAAATTAATTTTCTCTCACATAGTGGTGGGTTTAATGAACAAAGGAAGTCTAGGGACAGAGTTGTGTTCAATTAGGGATTTCATGTACTAGAAAAGGGAATTATCCCAGGAATCTCCACCAAGATGTCTTTGCTGAAAAAAAGAACCCTGCTTTTTTTTTAGTACTGGGGATTGAACCCAGGAATGCTTAACCACTGAGCAACATCCCCAGCCCTTTTTATTTTGACAGGGTCTCACTAAGTTGCTGAGGTTGGTCTTAAACGTTCCATCTTCCTGCCTCAGCTTCCCAAGTCGCTGAGATTACACGTGTTTACCACTACACTTATCATCTGCTTAATCTTTGAAAGTCTGTATTTATAGGAAATGGAATCAAGAGCTTATCATCAACCCAGGTCACAGAACTGGTTTGAACCAATTCAGCCTAGACTTAACAGGTGACTGCAAAATTTCCCAAGCAGACAACTTGGAGGCCTGAGAACCCAGTGGAGGTCACCCTTTTTAATTTTTTTTTTTCCCATAAAGGATTGATCAAGCTGGGCACAGTGGCTCATTCCTGTAATCCCAGCAACTCAGGAGGCTGAGACAGGAGGATCATCAGTTCAAAACCAGCCTCAGCAAAAGGAGGCACTAAGCAACTCAGTGAAACCCTGTCTCTAAATAAAATACAAAATAGGGCTGGGGATGTGGCTCAGTGATTGAGTGCCCCTGAGTTCAATCCCCAGTACCCCTCCTCACTAAAAAAAAAAAAAAAAAAAAAAAAAAATTGATCAACTGTCCAGATGTTCTTAAGGCATTTGCAGCTGCACAAAGAAACTTAGATTCCATTTAATAAGTACCTGGCAATCATCAGCTGCTCTAATTGCCATGTGGGTGAAGAGTTGCAAATTCAAGCAAGCCAAGTAGATTCTGAGGCATTGCTGGAAGATGAAAAATGTATGGACGAGCCCAGATGTGATCACAGAAATGTAAGCACAGAAATGTGAGCAGGAGCCTCTCTGGGGACAGCATCACCCCCACAGCCTGGAGAAGCAGATGTAAACACTCTGAGCATCTGCCTCTTTGACAGTTGCCCCAAGAAAACACATCAGTTGCTCAGGAAATCACAGGTACGACTGAAACACTCTGGACTCTGTGTTCCCTTGTCCATCCAGGCAGAAGTGGTCACAGTGAGGTCTGATACTGCAACTTCTGAGCAGTCCTGTTCCCCCACACCACCGGCTCACTGGAAAGACAAGGGAGGGGATCTTGTTATCCCTAAGTGGGTGCTATTATGATACTATCATTGACCCCTCCTTCACAGATGAAGAAACTGAGGTTCAGAGAGGTTCAATGGCTTTCTTCAAACCTCAACAGCCAAAAAGTAGTGCGGACAGGCCTCGGTTTCAGGGACCCTCTGGCTTTCAGTCTTCCAGAGAATGAGACCTGCACTCTGAGCTTGTCTACAGCACACTGAAACCAGTGTGTGTTTCTAGGGCTAATTCTCAGCCAGCTGCACGAGCTCTGGGCACTAAGTGATGACAGTTTTGTCTCCCTACCATTTACACTGTGAGGAAAGAGCCCCCCAGAACAGATATTGCTCAGTCACTCCAGGTTTCCTGGTCGACAGGACAATGGGGCACCTAACAACTTGTGACTTTTCAAAAACAAAGTCCAGAGCTGCATCCATACCACATATTTGCATGCTTCGGTTATTTTCAGTCTTTCCTGCGGCTTGATCCCATCTGACCATCATGACAACTTTGGCATGCATTTAATTTGTCCTTTGAAGATTTCTGGGTTTCCAGAGTCAACCTGTTCAAACAAAATACCCTTAAACTTTTATTGGCTCACACTTGGCAGCTGGCTGAGAATGAGGCCCCCACAGGGTAGGGAGGGACTGGGAGAGGGTCAAAAGGGGAAGAATGAGAAGGGATAGCAGGGGGCTCGAATGCCCTCTCAGCAGCCCACCCATCCACCTCTCAGTTTTGCAAAAAGAGGTTCGAGGTGAGCCCCATCCCCAGCAGAGAGACCACCCTCGCCCGCCAGGGCCAGAGTTAGAGAGGAACAGAAGAAAAACAGAAGCCACAGGAAGAGATGGGGGGAAAGATGGAATAAACCAACCATCACAGGCTCTTCAATCTTAATTCATTTTATTCTACAAAATGCTACTCAACGGAAAGTGGAAAAGCTAACAACAAAAAATAACCGCAAGGGAAAAAAAGTTGTAATATGTTCTTTCTTCCATAGCAGCAAGCTTTTTCTAACAAGCTTTCTTTAGTGCAAATACTGTAGGCTTGTGTCACATACAGTAAGACAACAGGACAAAATAACAACAGCAACGAACACACCAGAGATGCTTCAGAGCACAGATACTCCTCAATTTTCAAAACTATACAAAGATTTTTTGAGTTCAGGGTCCTGCCTAGAGAGGTCAATGTACGAGATCCTCCAATGGGGACCATTTCACCATTACTGAAAAAACAGAAAAAGATATCCAGAAAGGTCATTAAGTTCCCCCATAGAGTGACAAAAACCTTGTACGACTTGTTTGCCTCCAGGGTCTAGTAGAAGACTTCACTCCACCTCATTGACATATCTCAAATACAGATGCACAGAGCTCATGAGTTTCCACTAAATACCAAAATACTATATATACATCTCCCACTGCAAAAAAAAAAAAAAAAAGACACCCTGATACCTACTCTTTATACACAGTCGAATATTTTTCTCCTCAAAATCAAGTAACCACAAAGTAAAATAAATGGAATAGGTTTTTAATAATACAGAGAAAGTAATTTTGAGGGACAGGGCTGGATCTATCATTGTGTTCTCTTACAATATAGATTTCTTGGCAGCTACTGTCCCAGAGGAATGACAATCCATCTTTAAAAACAGAACCTTTTTATACAGTTTATACAGCACAAGTCACAAATCACTTTAGAAACAAAAAAGCATCATTATCCTAAGTTTAAAAAAAAAAGGGAGAGAGAGAGAGAGAGAGAGAGGAATTGAGTATTTTAATGCTATCCGTTTCTATTCAGGCTTAGTACAACACAAAGAAGATGTAAACATTTAAAATAAATAATAAAATAAGTGTCAATTTCTTCTCCCCCTCCCTTTCCATGTCCCCACCCCTGTCAAAATTTGACTCAGCCCCTCCGGAACATGTCGTCAGCTATTAAAACGCTTTGTTGATGCATGGCCAAGACACTAGAAGCACGAGAAGATGCCAAATTAGTAGTGGGGTGACTGGGTTTCCTTCTAAATAGCTGCAGGAGGACTCAGGCACTCCTGGAAATATGTACGCACACATGCGTGCACACACACACACACACACACTCTCTCTCTCTCACACACGCGCACTCCACAACCTGTCAATAAATAGTGAGATGCTGGCTTTTAAGATGAATGCCAAGAAGAATCAATAAGCAGAATGCAGTAAGACCCCTTGACCTAAGTTTCGAAAAGAAAGTTATGCACAGCACATATTCTATGGGCCCACAACTCTGCAGGGACTCGGTTACCCCTCCAGACATCTGAGGGGTGCAGATGAGCACAGGCCAAGGAGAAGGAGGGTCTGGAGGTGGGCAGATGCTCTGGGGGGTGGGTCTTTGAGAACAAACATCAGACTGAAGCCGATCTTACTCGTTCTTTGGAAACTTCTCACCTCCAACTGTTTCTTTTTAGCCATCATTTGGGGGCCCTTTATATGGGATGCCCTCGTTTCAAAGAGGATAAATAGAAAAGTGCCTAACAGTGCCTGGCACATAGTAGGTATTTATTCTTTCTGTCCCTAAAGGGGCCTGGGATGTCTGATCAGGGAAGGAAGTTACGTGGCGAGATAGCAAGGTGCATTGTGGGTCTGGAGAAAACCCCCCAAGGCTCCAGAGTTGTCTCCCACTTCCACTGGAGTCCATCAGGAGCAGAGGGAGATTCCTCTCCCCAAAGCTGGAGAGAGAAGCAGCAGCCAGCTCTGATGGCTCTCAGCTCTGAGATGCCTGTGCGACTGTCCTCAGCGGGCCCACCTGGCCTCCACACAGAACGTTCCACTCATTCTGAAAAACCTCCCCAGGGACTTCTCAGCTTGGAGTTGGCTCCAGCAATTCCCTAAGCTTCACCTACCATCTCCTCTTTCCTAGGTCAGCAACTGTCCCCATCAACCCAGCCAGGGGCAGGACCGTTCCCAGAAAGGCCAACCAGGCAGCCACAAGGACTGTGTGTTTCACACTGGCCCCTCAAGGGGTGTCTCCACATGCCATCCCAGTCACCTGCAGACCCACCCAGGTCCACACCAGCTGCCTCCTGGCTGGAGACAAGGGGAGGCCCAGCAGTTCCTCTCCTGAGCACAAAGGCATCTCCGCTGCAGCTGTCCCCTTGTTTGGAGCCACGGAGGGAGCAAAGGCTGGGTGTCTGGTGGTTCCAGAGCAAGTGCGTGCGTGTGTGTGGCGGGCAGGAGTGAACCTGGAGAGCAAGCCAGAAGGCAGTAACCTAGGACAGGCTCATGACTCAGGAGTGAATGTTCGGGCTTCCCCAAAAGACCTCTGGCTTTGGGGAAGCCAAACAACCTCCTAAGACACAGCAAGAAAGTCGTGAAGGTCACACCTCATAGGCTTCTGAAGTCCCTGGGGCTGTGCCTCCTGCAGGTTCCGATGCCAGCAGAGCTTGAAATCAGAAGTCAAACTCTGGCTCAGGAACGTCCAGCGTGGCTCCAAGTCACAGACCATGACCGGTGTTGGGGTCCATGCTATACAGACTGGGGCCAAAAGGGGATTTTAGAAATAAAAGACCAGAAAGCAGCTTCATTTAAGAAATATCTATATGCACAAGCTCCCACTTGGCTCCCAAGACGAGTTGAGATGATAAAGCCTTTCCAAGCTGAGAGCACCCAGCTTCCTCGGCCATCGCCTGCTAGCCCTCCTTCTTTGATTAATTAATCTAAGACCAGAAACACCGCTGCCCTTTCTTCTTAGAAGCACTTTCCCAAAGACCCTGGGAAACCAGAGCACAGCGTCACTGCCAGGGAACATGGGAAAGAACACGTTTAAAGTGTTTAAACAAAATCCTTTTCATCTCCTCTCTCTGTGGCTGACCCCTGTGCACGTTCCTTCTGGTCCTGCTGGGCCGCGTATCTTCAGCCTAAGTCTCTTCCATCGTGCGTGTCTAGGGCATCAAGGGGGAGTTGGGGGTGGAATTAAATAATGGCCAACACCTGTGACCTCAGGTATAATAGGAACCGGTCTGTAAAGCTGTTCCTGCTCTCTCCAGAGTCGGACTCAGAAATGTAACTGCCACTGGATTTAAGTAGCATTGACATCGTTTTGAATGGATGGACACTGATCTCTCTGGAGCTGAGTCACCAACAGTGAGACTCCCTCAGAGTATCAGCTCCACAGAGGCCAGTTCTGACCAGAAGCTGCTTCCCAAGGACATGTGTCACATGCTCTGGGGAGAAAAAGCTGAGAGGGGTGGAGGCCAGGGGACCCGTGGGAGGGGGCAGCTCTCCTGCGGTGGAAAGCAACACATCCTAGCTCCAATTTCAGCCGCTGGAAAGATTCAACAACTAGAAATGGCACACGAGCCCCAAGCAAAAGCTCATGGGCCAGCTGCTCACAGCTTGTCAATTGGGCCAGAAGAGCACCCCGGGATGGGGCAGGGGGAGCATGAAAGAGAAAGCACTGGAGCCACCAGATGGCAGATGACCACAGAGGGCAGACAGGGCCTATGCTGCAGGGCCACAGCAGGGAAGGTTGGGCACTGGGGCAGTGGCAGCTGCTGCTGCAGACACCACCCCCATCCTCCTTCCTGCCTGGCTCTTCCATCCTTTGAGGCTTGGAGAGGAGCCTCCCTTGGGGAGGGTCCAGGCCCACGCTCATTAAATCTCCGTGGGTGGCGTCACCCTGAGAGCCAGGGAAGGGTGGAGCCCAGCAGGGCCTTGGAGTGATGTGTGGTTCCTGGGAGGGACGCCTCCCTGGTCTGGAGAGAAGGGTCCAGGGGCAGAATGGTGAGGCAGTAATTACAGGAGACACCCTGCTCAAGACACCAGGTGAAGGGAAGCTGGCTAGGACACCCAGGTGGCTTTGTCGGCACTACCCCTGGCCTGATAATTAGGTGTTTGGCAACCCCCCCCCCCCCCGCCCGTGCCCTGGCTGTCTCACACCCCCTCTTCTGGTCAGGCCGGTCGTCCCAAGCCACCTCCGAGGGTGCAGAGGAAAGTTCTTTCAAGACTCCCAGTGAGGTTGGCCCCTGCTTGAGAGGTCTGGAGGCAGTGGTGCACTGGGGAGTACCCCTGGAGGGAAGGTTCTGTATTGCACTTTGTCCCCTTCTGGACAAGTCAGCCCCCGTGGAAGAGTCACCTGCTGCCATGCCTCCAGAAATGAAGAGCTTTAATATCCAGACCACCCTGATGAAATGTCATGGCAAATTTGATAAAAACCAAGAGGGAGTGAGACTGACACTGTGGGAGGGAGGGGGCACGTCGAGGGAAGGTGAACCAAAAGGCACTGAGCATGCTTGGTGGGGTGGGGAGGACAGCATCACTCCAGAGACAACAGGTAACAAAGGGGCAGGACCATCTGGGAAGCTCCAGGCTCTTCAGAAGCCAGAGACAGGTCCCGTCTGCCAAACCAAGCTCTCCTTGGCTTTCGAGGAGGAGAACTCTCTGCAAGACGAGCAAGGGAGGAGGTCCCATGGCTTACAAGGATCAACCCGAGTCTTCTAAAGCCTCACTGCCAAGTCCCACCTGGGTCCCCCAGAGCCCGGAAGCTCCCTGGCAGGGCTTCCTCTGGCCCTCAGGGCTCTGGAGCTCTTGAAGGTGCTGGTCCCTGGGAGGAGGCAGTGCCGAGGACCCCTCCAGAGCTGGGGAGGAGAGCACAGGTTACAGAGCCAGCAGAGTGGGGGAGTTCAAGGAGTCTGACGACTGGTCCCCGCTGCTACTGCTTCTGCGGTGAGCCTTGGAGCAGGACTCGGAGGGTGACGCGGGCGACTCCTGCTCCAGGACACTGGGGTAGGTGAAGACGAGGTTCGAGGTGCCCGGAGTGATGGCAGGCGTGGAGGTCACCACGATGGGGGTGTGCAGAGGCTCCTCCCCATAGAAGCCCCCGGCAATGCTGATGGGCTTGATGACGGAGCGCTGGGCCTTGTCCAGCCCTGCTGATGAGGACGAGGGGCTGTCCTCTTCTAAGGGCTCCTGTTTCACTACCACAGCGCCCACCGCACTGCCCCCACTGCGCATGGGCTGCAGCCCGGGGGCTGGAGGCGATCGGCGCTCCTCAGGGCTGATCTTGCACACAGGGCCGTGGGCCACCAACATGAACTCCAGCTTCTCCTTTTCCTTCTGTAGCTCAGCGATCTCCTTCTGCAGGCCTGACTTCTCCTCCTCCAGCTCCTCTGTCTCCTGCAGGGGAAAGCAGGGGGTGTGAGGAACAACAACCTGCCAAGGACCCACTAGGGGACAGTTCCAAGCCAGACAAGAAAGGGAGAACCAGCAACGTCCTCAGATTACCTCCTGTACACACCTGGCCACAGACCTTACTGGTTCTGAGTCACATGGTGGCTCCTGATTTCTTTTATTTCTATAGAAGGAAAGCTGGCTTGAAGAAGAAATGAAGTAGCAATTGTAGCTCTCATGATTGAACACTTAATTGTGCCAGGCACTGTATTAAGCATTTCATAGGTTATTTCATTCAATTCTCCAAAAGTTTTTGAAAGCAGATGTTATCATCAACCCATTTGCAGATGAGGAAACTGAGATCTGAAGAGGCTTAATAACATGCCCAAAGTCACAGAGCTAACTGTTGGGTAGCCCAGATCTGAATCTCAATGCATCTCACGTGGGATACATTCTACTCTATTCTACTGCTTTGGTGCCAGGACTGTCCCTGGGTCCCTTCAAGGGGTAAGCGAGATTTCCATGGAGAAAGAAGCACAGGATGGAGCCCTACCCCTTTGGCTCCTCCTCCTCAGCTTCCTGCCAGCCCACCTGTGGATGCAGGGAAACTGAACCTGAAGCCCATGAGAGGGGGACGGTCTTCTCCAGCAGCAGGACAGTGTCTGGCTTGGATAAGTGCTCACCCAATCCCTGTGGGACCGCCCCTTTTTTGCTCCAGTTTCTGAAGCCTCTGTCTCAGGACAGTCGGAACAGCAGAGAACACTCAGTTCAGCCACATGCTCAATGGAAGAGGCACCTGAGACCTGCATGAGCCTGTGAGGACACCAAGACCATCCTGCAAGGCTTTCTGTGTGACAGCCCCCTTCTTTCACATAAAGCCAGAGAAGCAGAAGGGAGCAAATGCACGTGGAAGCGCAGCAGAGGGAGGGGAGAGGTGTGTGTCACCAGCCTCCTCCCCACTTTGTCCCTAACACAGATTCCCATTCATGAACAAGGAGACGCGGGCAAGAGCTTCATTAAGCGGAGAGTGGCACATTCTGCAGTGAAAAAAAGTTTCCATCTGTCTCAATGGTCTGATGAACGTCATGAGCTTATGAAAGGCTTCCTGTGGAGGATGTGGCTCGGGGCCTGGGCGGCTGGGTCAGGGGGCGGGGGAGCAGGTGTGAGGTTTCTGGGAAGAGGGGAGGATCTATTCTGGGGTGGTGGTGAGGGACGCCTCAGGTAGACACACAGGGCATGGCTCCCTGAAGTGTCAGACCAGAAAAAGGCTGGCGATGGGGAGAGCTCTGCTCAAGGAGTCTCCCATGATGGGCTGGTCACTCACAGGTCCATCCTCCCTGGCTCTAACACCTCCTCGGGACACTACTGCAACTACCACAGAATTCACACAGCACACAGTTGATGCCCAAGGTCAAAGGCTGCAGGACGGCCAAAGGGAGGCTTGAGCAGACAGACAGTATCCAGGAGGACAAAAGCAACCAAAGGAATGTTTGCCAAAGCCCCGTCCTGGCTGGTCGCTGTGAGGACCACTGACGGAGTCTCTCTCATCTCCTCACTTTGCAAACATTCCACCCAGGAGAGTCAGCCCTGGCTTGGGGCTTCCTCCACGTGGCACACAGCCCTTGCTGTGGGGCCAGACTCTGCAGGACCATGGGCCCCCAGGTCCAGGCAATCAGGGAGCATGGAGAGTGATTCACAAGAGCAGACTCAGGTGCCAAGGCCAGGGCTCTAGGCTTGTGATAACGGTGGGAAAGCCTCCTGCCCATTGGGGATATGAGAAAACCCCAAGAAAGAGCAACTCAGCTGGCATGTGACCTCTCTCCAGCAGGATTCCCCCCGACACTGACCCAGCTCAAACCATAGTGCTTAAGCCAGGTTATGCCAGCCCAGTGGGGTTGTCTTCGGCCTCTAGCTGGGAATTAGCCCTGGAGGGGCAGGTCTGGATCTGCCCGGACTCCTGTGGACTAGCAATACCAACAGCCCTGCCACCCCTCACCCAGGAGCTGGGCCGAGAGAGCAGAGAGAGAGCTCTGAGACAGGGAGTGAAAAAAGGTGCTGGCCCAAGAAGGCTGTCCAGTTCTCCCCAGGCCCAGGCAGGTGGAGAAGACCAGTTTCTCCTTCTATCACTTTTTCATTCAGCTACATGTCGACCCATGTGCCCAAAGGAAGGGTGCTCTAGCTCCACTGACTCGTCCCTAGGGGACTGGTAAGCAAGGGGAGGGCACGGAGGGCCTGAGCCCTGGGCCCTCACCCAGCCACCCAGAATGCCCCTCGTGCGCACAGAGGTCCTTACCGCCTGCAGCTTCTCGGTCAGCTCCCGGCGGCGGTTCCGGCACTTGGCAGCGGCCAGTTTGTTCCTCTCCCTCCGGATCCGACGCTTCTCCTCCTCCTCGGGAGACAGCTAGAGGCCGAAGCCCAGAATCATGATTAGAATGGGGTGAGTAGTTCACAGCATTTTTAAAAACTGTATTTTAGGTAAAGAAAACAGCCCTCTGGGCCTGGGAGGGGAGAAGGCAGGGCCAGAGGAGTGTAGTGGGCAGAGAACACTGCGGCCTGGCTGCCTGAGGGACACCTGTTGCCCTGGAATCTGCCCTGGAAAGTGACATCTGATGTTTAGAGGGAGAGCAGGGTGAAGTGGGTTTGGGACTCACTGGCCCCTGCACGATGGCTACATGTGTCATGTCAGCGGATTGGAGCATAGCCCAGGCCAAGAGGAGCCCCTCCAGCTAGCCAGGCCCAGCCCCACCCACTCAGGCAGCTCCTTCCAAACCTGGGCTAATTACTCCTCCCCATTACCCTGCCTGCTCTGCCAGCCTCATTATTCCCATTTGGTTAAGTAGCTGGGCCCAGAGTCCCCACACAGGCAAGACTCGCCCAGAGAGAAATGTTCTGTTGCCAGTGGGAGGACACAGGTACCACTCCACTTCTGACTTCCGCTGCCAACTCTAGAGTGCCAGCCGCTCACAGCTTCCCCAGGAAGCCTGGCATGGCACTGGGCTCCACGGAAAGTTCGTTCAGTCCTGCTGCCCACCTTTTCCGCCAATAGACACAGTTCTAGGAGCTTGGGACTTTTCTGTGAACCAGAAGATCTCCCTACAAAGAACTCAGCACCTAGCTCCTTGCCATGAAACTCAGTACTCACACTAGAGGACAAGAAGCCTGCTCTGCTCTGCAGGCGAGAGCCCTTCAAAGCCATGACCCCATCCTCCTCTCAGGCAAAGGGGACCAAGGAGATGGCTGTGGGCCAAAGCAGAAGCAAGGCAAAGAAAAGGGCTTCCCATGCCCCATTCAGGTGTCAGACACTGACGCACATGTACCACGCGTCCAGTGCTGTACAGGGAGCTTAGGAGATATCAAGGGGAATAAGACCTGAGTCCTGCTCTCAAGGGACAGGTGGAGAAAAAGCTGAAGGCACTCTTAGGGAAGGAAAGAGAAGCTTCCCTGTGGAAGAATGTTGCTCAAATGTTGGTCACCCCCACAGTCCTGGCTAGTCCCAGATCAGGCAACCTGGAAGTCTACTGCTGTGATGTCCTGAACAGCAAAGCAGGGCACAGTATCCACAAGGACTATCCCATGCCCATCTACCCAGAGGTGACCCCAAGGCCTGGTGGAGGTCACAAGTCCATTTGGCCAAGGCCTCCAAACACTGGCTACCCTTAAAACTGCCTCCACCTGAGCCCAACAGCGTTGGTTACCAAGAGAGCCAAGGGCCTTATTGGCTTGGGTTTGGAGCTTCCCACCAGGATCGCCCTGAAGGCCCAACATGCTCCCTCCAGAGCCCTTACTAAGGTGGAGGAGTAAAGAGGAAGGGCTGGCCTTGATCCACTTCAACTCTTCCTTCCCCCTTGTTAACTTTTGGCCTCAGAAACCTCTCCCCTGTCTGGGAGGTAAGGGACAACTAGCAGGAGTTGTCAACATAGGAAGTGTTCAGGGGTGGTGAGATCAACTTGGCCACAGCTTGAGTGTGTCAGCAGCTCCAGGACTCACCCACAAGCCCCACATACCCTCTCCTCCACAGCTCCTCAGTCACTGCCCCTGGGCTCCGAGGGAGCCTCCAGGACCAGCCCTGGAAGAGGGCTATAAGGCTCCAGGTAGCAGGCCCTCTGCAGGGGGAGGCTGGGGCAGGCAAAAGTAAGCCTCAGAGAAAGACCCTGGGGCTGGGAACCTAAAAGCCAAGGTGCTAGGATGCCCTTCTCAGCTTCCCCAAGACTGGAGCAAGACTGTTTCAAGTCCTAATTGAAGGGGGAATAAATGCTCCTGGCTCTCTCCCTCCCTCTCAAAAAAGGAAGGAAATTCTCCAGACAGATTGTCTCAGGGCACGCCTAGGTGGTGTGGTGGGAAAAACACAGGGCGAAGGTCAAAGTGGTGGATTCCAGTCCCTGATCTGCTACCAACTCATTGTGTGGCTGAACAGGGCCCTTCTCTCTGGGCCTCCACTGGTCTATCTATAAGATGGGTACAGAGGGAAAATAAGAAAAGATGGTCTCCAAAATGCCTTCTGGATACAAACTTCTAAAGCTGCTATGAGGTGGGCCCAGCAGAGAATGGAGAGTGCTGGGCACATCTTGCTTGGTTGAATTTCTGGCCCGGGAGAGCTCCTTACAAGCCTGGCTCTCATGTGGTGTCACTTACATCCTGAGAGAATCTGGCTCATCAGTGACTCTAAAGCTTTGCACTTTGAACTCCCTGTGGGAAGGACACATGATCACGACTGCAATATTTACAACCGCCTCCTACCCCAGCAGCAGAGGCCCACCCTGCAACCGTGAGCACTATTATGGCATCTATTATTCATATCTCCCCCCATAGGACCCTGATTGTGGCTCTACTTTCAACAGGTTCTAGATACAGGCCCAGCTTTGTCCTGGGAGGAGCAAGTGTCCCCAGGAAGCTTCTAGCTCCTTGGAGTGGTAAGCCCTGTAAGTCTAAGTATCCTGAGGACTACGGGCCCTAGATCCATCAGTATCCACTGGGAACCATATTTAAAGGCCTTGTACTGGCATATCCTCCCTGGGGATGCCACAGTGGAACCGGATGGGGGTTGGAATGGTGAGGGGTTCCAATGCTGTGCCACAGTATTCCTGGAATACTTCTCCAGGTTCATATTTCATTTGAAAAGGGGACTCCACTGCTAATGTATTGTGCCTCTGCTGGGCTCACAGTGGCCTGGCCTTGCAGGAGAAGCACTGCACAGCAAGTCCAGGGAACTGGTTTAGCACCAGTCCAGGCTTCCTCTCTCAACTGCCCAGTGGGAATAAGCAAGTGGGTCCAGGCCTAGGACGTATCATCTGTGAAGCGGGCAGATGGGGCTGTCTGAAGGCCTAAGTTCCTTCTTTGGGGTATTACACATGATTCTCATTTCTCCTTCAGAAATTAGGGAATTCAGCACCGCCCTGGCTCACTGTCAATGCAGGTGGTGGGCCTTTAGAACACTGGGTAGATGCCTCCTAAAAAGCAGAGGCCCCATATTTTCTGACCTCTCTCCAGCCAAAATAGATCTCTCGAGACCCTTGAGGAAAAAATTAAAAATCTATGTCTGACCTCCCCTGTCCCATCAGTTAAAGCAGCTGAACAGATTCCTGAGGCCCCAGAGTCACTGTACTTCCAGAATGTACACTCCAGGCCCTGGAAATGGACCCCTGCTTTAAGTCAAAGGCCTGGGCCACTGAAGAGGAATGAAAGCATGTGGCCAGTACCAGCCCTGAGTGGGGCTCTTTAGGACAGCTGGGTGCCTGGCCTGCACCTGACACAGGGAGGGGGCTAATGGTGAATCCAACACAGCCAGGGTTCACTGGTGTTTATCCTGTGGCCCTCTGTCAAGGCTCAGGTCATGACAGTTCCCCTTCTTTGGTTACATCTATGACAGGCTTTCCCATGTATGATCTCCCTCAGGCACCAACAAGCCCTGGCTGGCAGGAACCATTATTCCCATTTGGCAGCTAAGGAAACAGACTCAGATTCTGAGGGACGTGGGCGAGATGACAGGGACAGACCCGTTTCGGGTCTCCAGCTCTGCTTCTGATGCCTAGCTCGTTGCCTAGCTCCCCTGTCTCCCCTGTGCTTCTAGAACATTCACTCTGCTCTGCACCAGTCTGCAGAAAAGCATTCTGTGCTTAGGAGGCACCCAAAGCCACCAAAGTGGCTCCTTTCTGCTGGCCTGAGTTGTACCTGCTCATCTCTCCTCCTGCGGCCCACGGTGGTGCCAATGGTCTTGATCACGCCAGGTCTTGGGAGGGCCATGTGCGCAGGGACAGAGCCTAGGCCAGGCAGCGGGCTGTAGGGGTGCGAGCGCTGGTAGGGGCTGGACATGGAGGTGATCACTGTGGGCTGCACCATCCACTGCAGGTCCTGGCTGGTGGTGATGGCGTTGATGGTGGGGATGAAGGCACTGCCCGAGCCAGGCATATCTACCCGGAACTTCTGAAATGAGGAGAAAGGCATGATTGAATCAAGAGACACTGAGCAGAACAGAGTAAGCCGAACTGAAGCCAAAGCCCACAGATAGCAGAGTCAATACTTGGAGGGGAAGGTCAGGACCCCAGGTGGGCATCTCTGGACAAATCCTGGGAAAGTCCCACACATCCATGAATCAGGATGATCTAACCATTCCTGGGGCCTCACACTGGATCTACTTGATGACTGGGGTCCTCAGGACTCCATCTCCATGGGGCTCAGTGAGGATGGTGTCATACCCCCAAATGACTTCTAGGACACATGTGATGCCTGGCTGCCCACACTCACCCTGCAGCCCTCCAGGGCACACATCTGCAGGATGCGACACCCAGGCCTCCCAAGCCTCTGAGTCACTCGACAATTAATCCCTGAGGTACTGGCTCAGGACACCTTGACTTGGAATGTGCATACCAGCAGCTTTGGAACAAGAAAGGTCACCAAGAAGCATACTTTGTCTACATTTGTCACTTCCCAAAGAGGTTCAGGATTGAGCTATGACCCCATCCAGGCAAGGCCAGATCCATGAGAAGATGTCTGCAACCCATTAGACTAAAACTCATATGAGGCTGGCATTTGCAGCCAGACCTCCTCTTGATGTCCTTGTCCCTCCTCATTTCCCACTATCTGCATCTTGCTTAGGGCAGACACGCTGTGTCTAGCTCTACCTATCGACACATCTTTGTCTCTCTGGGTTCACACATTATCTGTGGTAAACTTCAGTGCTGCCAGCTCAGAGTTTTCTCCTTGTCTCTTAATTTATACCTAGACCACGTTGCAGAACTCTCTGGAACATGCTGCAGAAAGCATTCTACTTAAAATATAAGATGATGACAGAGTACAAAAATGAAAATGGGCCAGCTCCTCAGGAACTGGGCTTGACCTCTCTCCAAGGCAGCTACTGGACAGCGTGTGGGAAGGAAGAGCCCTATTTCCAGCATTTCAGGGGGAAAAAAAAAAAAATGGAACCCAGGTGAATCCTCATCCTCAGCTTATTTCTTTGTCCACAAAAAGATCTCCAAGCCAGGGGTGGTGGTGCACACCTGTAATCCCTCAGGAGGCTGAGGCAAGAGGCTCATAAGTCTGAGACCAGCCTGGGCAACTCAGCAAGGCCCTGTCTCAAATAAACTAAAAAGGGCAGGGGGGTTGCTTAGTGCTAAAACACTTGCCTAGCACACATGAAGCCCTGGGTTCCATCCCCAGTACCCCCCTAACCCCACATACACCCCAAAAAATGTTCACCAGCTTCCCCTCACATCACCAAAATGGTTGATGAAATGACTTCAATAATAACAGTTAACTTACTAAATGGCCCACGCCACGTTAATGTCTCACCTAGATTATCTCATTAATTCTCCCTCTGAGGTAAGAACAGCCATTATCTCTATTTTAGGAGCAGAAATTTGGTCAGAGAGAGATTAAGTAATTTATCCTAGGCCACACTACTAACAAGCAGTGGCGTCAGGATTCAAACCCAGTTCAACCTGACAGAGAGGCCATGACAAGCTTATTTAGCATGACTTCTTTCTTCCTCAAAATCCAGCCATAAGCGCTGACGTCGGGCCCCATCACCCTCAGACAGTGTCAGGTCACATTGGATAGATGCCTCCTAAAAAGCAGAGGCCAAGGGTCCATATAGATTTTCCCTCTCCCCAAGGAGGTCCCACAGATCTGTTTGGCCCCAGATGACCTCCTCCTATCATTAGCACCTAGCACAGATGCTCCAGTATCCTCTGTTCCAACCCAGTCAGACGGACCAAGATTAGAACCACTAGCAGCTACCACTCAGCTCTTTGCCCCTGGTGGCAACATCTGGATACCTGCTGTGTAAATAAAATGAAACTTAGATTACCTCACTGTAGCTGACAGAGCTAGGGACTCCTGCCACCCACACCCCCGCCACCCACCTGGACCCCAGTACCAGACGTGGAACTTGACCGTCCCAGGGTCCCAGGCCAAGGGCATTCAGTGAAGAGAAAACCCTGACCTCCAGGAAGAGAGCTGCTCAGAGCAATGGATATGGAATTCTGTGAGGAAGGCTACCCAATGCAGTGGATTCTGGGATTCTATGAGGAAGGCTACCCAGTGGGCTCTGGGAGTCTAAAGGTTACCAGTGCAGAGGATTCTGGGATTGCAGAGAACAACCGCCTAGGGCCATGGCCTTGGAGTCGCACTCTGAAGTCAAAGATAACTGGGCTAAAACAGGACCTGACTGGAAAGAAGCAGGTGTGTGTGAAGGAGGGAAAAGTCTGGTAGCAAGGAAGGACTGAAGTGGGAAATGACCTTCATGGAAGAAAAAGGGGCTGGCCTTTTTGACGAGACAGAGAGGGGAGGGTGACCTCGTCTGAGTGTGTGCAGAAGCACAGACAGAGTCCCAGACAGCAGCTCTTTCTCTCAGGGTGCTGGACAGGAAGGGCAGGGAGTCAGCACTTGGAGTCAAGAGGCCTGGCTCAGCCTCAAAGAGCTTTGCCCTGGGCACATTGCTGCGGAATCAATTCCAGGGTGTAAAGGGGACCACTAACCCCCAACTCCCTACACTGTCACAAGGATTAAATAAGCAGCTACTCGTAATCACAGGCTACAAAGCACACTAGTGCTTCTCAACCTTTGCTGTACACTGGAATGTTCTGAGGAAATTATATTTTAAAAAAAAACAATGTCATAACCTCATGATTAGAGTTCTAAAGTAACTGGCTGGAGGCAGAGTTCTGATAAAGGGATTTTTTTTTTTTCCTTAAACTCCCAAGGACATCTAATGTGCAGTCAGGGTTGAGAAACACTGCTCCAAACAAATGGAAGGTACTGTCATCATTGTCATCACCACCACCACCACCACCACCACTATCATGTCATCATCGTTACATGGCTGTGTGTACTCTGCACAGGGCAGCTCCAGGGAGAACTGCCAGGTTCCCACTCCTGGGAAGCACCCAACTTTTGCATTAACTTCTCTCCCCAAATCAGCTTCTAGATTTGAAATGCACCAGAGGTACCCAGCGCCAATGGTCTAATGTGACCCCCTTCTCCACCAGAGAGGTGTCAGATTTCCTATCAGGAAAGCACCCAAGAAATCCATTCATTCCAACAGCCAAAAGTGTACCTGCTTAAGGCTTAGGGAAGCAAGCGGAAAACCTGAAGCCAGGCTGGAGACTAAGATTCCTTTGGGATGGGGGGGGTGCCTCTTAGCCCCTCCTGGTCCCTCCCCTCTGTGGATGGCAGGCCCACAGAATGTGCTTCCCGGAATCAACAGCCAGGATACTTGCAGCAGTGGCTTGGTCTAGACAAAACAAGACAGCAATAAAAACAAGGCGGGAGGTAATGACTGCCTCTGAAACGCATGTACACCTTGTTTCAGACGGGAGGTAAAGCCATCTGGATAACACACTGGCTCCAAACTGCAAGGAAAACAATGTCCCCTCCCCAGAGGGAATGGGGCCTGATAAAGAAGGCTTTGTCTCCAGAGGAGCCTCTCTGGGAGACATACAAAAGTTTCAATTAGATCTGGCAGATGGGTCTTGTCTCAACTCCAAAGGTATTATTCAGAAAGGGACACTAGGGTAGAGAGAGGAGGTGAGGCTAGGAGTCTGAGGTCCCAGAAGTTATCCTGGCATCGTTCTATGGCCACCACACCCCAGAATCAGCCAAATGTCCTGTTGGGGATAAATCATGGTTCTCTCAAATGAGTTAACATTCAACAGGAATCAAAGTCAAGCTTCTCAGGTGCAGGCCTTAGGGCCACGGGACCTGCCACATTCCCAGGTGTGTGGTGGCAGTGAGGATTGGGGGGTAGCCAGGAACCTGGCTCCCCTTGGGGCTCTCTGGCCCCTAGGAAGCTCCTCCTTTAGGGACAGGACTGAAGATGCTGGGTGGCTGTGGCATTCCAGCCTGGCACAGCCTCCAAATACTTCAGATGCGTAACCCTGTTGACTTCTAGATGCATGCCTAGAAAAGGACAAAGTGGCCCCACTGCCCTCCAAGAGCAGAGTTTGGCAAATACTTCAGGCTTTGTGGGCCGCACGATCTGTGTCACAACTCGACTCCCCCATCCTAGCATGAAAGCAACCACAGATAATATGTAAGCAAACGGGAGTGCCTGGGTTTCATTCAACTTCATTTTATAAAAAGAGTTTGCTGACCCTAATCCTAAAGGATTGTTCTCATCTCAGCTCAGGTTGATGGCATAAGAATAAAGAGGAAATAAGAAAGCAAAATCAGAACTGAGATAGCCGCCTAACCCAGGGAGCCATAACTGGATCTCCAGACCCCAACCTTAAGGTGAAGCCCTTATGAGCCTCATTGTGGGTTTTGGGCATGGGAACCTCAGTGTCACCCTGCAGCACCCTGTCCCTGGGGTGCCATGGGCTCCTCAGTGAGTATCCCATGGAAGATAAGAGCTAGGATCACAGGACCCACTCGAGCAGGCTAGAAAAACCTCAGCCCAGAAGTTGCTGACTTGGAAAATCAGCCTTTGGGGGCGCTAGAGCAGGGGTTTGGATTCAAAACTGAGGCCACACCCATAGTCTGTTGCTGGTCTCCAAATAAGGGTTTGGGAACACATTTCCCACATGACTGGATGCAGCAGAGGGCTTATCCCAGGGACTCCTAAGCCCGGCAGACAGAAGGCAGGGTTGGTATTTTTGGCTGCCCACTGCCTGGACCTGGCATTTCTCCTCCAGACTGATTCTTGTCAGGGTCCCCAAGTATTAAGGCCATGAGCCTGGACTCTGTGACCTGTCCCATCAGGAAGGCAGGCGTGAAGTCTAGGAAAGGAAAATTCCAACATCCCAGAAGGATGGCTCAGGGGAAGAAAAAGGACAAGGACAAATGCTCTCTCAACACTTCCCAAGCCACCCCGGCAGGCCCCTTACCAAGACAATGCAAACACTCTGCTTTTACTAAACCTGGGATGACCTCCAAAACCCTCAGAATGGAATTCAACCAGTCTTCACAAGATTCTGCACTGGGCATCACTCTGATCTCTGACCCTTCATTCTTCTCTGAGGAAATGCTGCTTAAGTCAGAATGGAAATCATTGCTAATAAATCATAATTTTCCAAAGTTTTACAGTATACAAACACCATCTCCCTTGATCTGCCTCCTGACAGCCTCTTCTCCTTCCCAGGTTCACTTGAAAGAGCGACTCAAACTTCTGCCAACTTACTACCAGGGTAAAGAAAAGCAAAGAAGAAAAGAAAAAGCAACGAGAAAATGACCGTGGCTGATTTGGAGTCACCCCAGGTTCCCGGGTTTCTTTGCTCCCAGAGCCCTTCCAGCGAAGCCCCACCCCAAAGCCCTGGAGGGTTCACTCCACTGCACCCCTTTACCACTACCACCAACCCTTGGAGCTCGCACTTACTCACTGGGAGGACTTGCCTGAGGACCACAGGAGGGTGAGCCTGGTGACATCAGCCACGTGACAGGGCTGAGACCGCACTGGCCACGAGAAATCTGAAATCTTCCCTCTCCAGCCCAGGGAGCTGAGGAGGGGTAGAATTACCAAATGGGGTTTGGCACAGACATATTTACCTCAGTCAGAACAGCTGCCATCATTTTGAAATCCAGTGGCCACCAGAAGTTACCACATACAGCATGGATGAGACATTATCCACAAAGTAATGGTGCTGTTTTTTCTTTCAACATATAAACCAGAAGGTTCATTTCTTTAATTTCCAAAATCAGTAGTTTTATTCCTGTTTAACAGGAGAGTATAAAACCCAATGTATAGATGACAATGAAGATGCTGTCACCAACGGCGCCTGCTCTGGTGTGCTCTGTCCTAGGGCACATTCTCCCAGGCTGATTCCTGAGACTTAATGCCAACAGGACTCAGGGACATACTCTACAGTGGACCCAGCCTGATCACTTAGACTTTGTGTGTCAGACTTTGCTTGAAAGGGGACTGAAATAGAACGAATTATATCCCATGCTTTAATAATTATGTCATAATATATTCTATTGTCATGTATAAAAAGAACCAATAAAAATTAATTATTTTTTTTTAAAAAAGATCTTTTGGTAACTTCCCAATATCAAATTCACCCTTTAAAAACAAAACTTTTGTTTAGCAGGGAGGGTTTTTTCAGAAGAATGTATTGAAAGCAATTCCAAAAGAGTTGTCACTGCAAATCCTTTCTAACCAATAGCTACAACGTTCAAATGAGTATTTAGCCTCCTTAAAGAACAAGAGTGAAAGGGACAACAGGGATTTGGATGTTTAAGTTCTGCTGTTTGTATTAAGGTAGAAAAGAAGTCTCCTAATTTTACATTCATCTTGAATAAGAAGACAGGATAAAATACAGCAATGGAAAAGCCTTCAGTGTTTTGGATAGGGAAATTCAAGGACCACTCAGACAATAAGTGACTGCTATTTCACCCCATCCACTTTGATGAAAAACTGAAGCTGACTTCCACCACCAAGAATCAGCGGAACAGACAAATTCCTGGGATAACATTTTGTTTGATCCTAATCTACAACATCTGTAAGATCAAGGCAAAAAAGAAAAAAAGTTTTAAAATGAAAAAGCACCCAAACACTTCATGTACATCTTCTACTTTCCCACCAATTCTGAACTACGACCCCCCAATACAAACATAGCAAGAAAGCAAGCCTTAGGAATTTGAAAACATCATGCTAGTACCCTAAGAAACAGATAGACATCAAAATAGGGTTAGCAAAAAAAAGCAATCCTTTTCTAATTAGGTTTTATTTGGGGGTAGGGGGATTAAAAGGAATTTTTTTTTTTGGTACTGGCGATTGAACCCAGGAGTGTTTTTATATTCCCAGTACTTTTTATTTTTTTCTTATTTTGAGACAGGGTCTTGCTAAGTTGCTGAGGCTGGTCTTGAACCTGCCATCCTCCTGCTTCAGCCTCTGAGTCACTAGGATTACCACTGTGCCAGGCAAGAAACTCATTTTGAAATCAAGCAGGTCCTAGATAACCACTATTAAATATATTACATTTATCTGTCTCTAAATAAAAAGAAAAAATTCTAAGAATTCCAAAAACCAACCAAGTTAACACTCTGGGGCTGGAAAAATACATTTCCAAGATAGTTCTACCAAAAATGTCCTGTAGGGGGCACTAGAGAGGTATGCTTGAGGCTGACTTGGGAATCACAGTCATTTCTGGTAAAAGTTCTTTGATGTGAGGAATGTCCCAGCCTGGTACAGTTGGCAAAAGTTCACTCTGGGGAATTTTGTGAGTGTGTACGTGTGTGTGTGTGTGTGTGTGTCTTGGGAAAGGGTGGCTGAGAAGGAGAGAGCTTGCCTGGTATTCCTTGATTCCAAAAAGGAAATACCCCAATTGATTTATTTTCACAAGTTATCTGAGAAACAGGCAAATAGTAGCCTTGGAAAAGTTCTGTGTCTTGTTTTTGTTTTGTTTTGTTTTTTTCTTTCATTAAAAGGGGGCCTGGCTGATGAAAACAAGTTATGAAATGACCTATGTTTGTGTAACTGGCTAGATTGCGTAATGCTCAGGCCCTGAAACCGTAACAGCCAGGCAGCCAGGCAGGGCATATATCTGGGAGGTGTTATCCTAGGAAAGTTAGGAGAGAGAACACAACAACAAAAAGCAAAACCCGGGAGAGGGAGATAGGTGCAACTATTCCTAACAAAACTGAATCACCCACGAGCCACCTTTGAGATTAAAACTTTAACTGTGACAGGAAATCTTTTTCATGTTTCAAGTTCCTGCCATATATAAGAACGGAGGCTTTAACAAAGAGTTGTCTGCCCCCTCATCCCCCAAGTCACTGGAACCCGTGGCCTTGTGTTAAGATCAAATCTTATGCAGCTAGACAGGAGAGGAAAGCTCTGAGTTTAGTAACCGGCAGAACACTTATCAGAAATACTAGACCCTGCAAACAAGGAGACCAGAAAAACATAATATTCACTTGCCCGAGGGAAAACCAGAGGACTGATTGGTCCATTGCACTGCCATAAAGGAGGAAGGCCCATCCACTAACGGCCAGAAAAGTCTCCCCATAAAGGAAGCTGAGAGAAATAAAGTGATTACAGGTTTTATCTGGTATGTAATAAAGTTACCTTGAGCCTCAGCTCGGGCGGGGTCATAGCCACAAACTTGCAAAGTAACAAAAGCCTCTGAGGTCAGTCCTTAGGGCCATAGAACAGTTTTGCTCAAAGTCACAGTGATGATGGAAAAACTTTCCCCCTGTTGCTTCTCATTACCCTGTCCCCCTAGCCACCACCACCACTGAGGAACCAGCAGAGAAACTCAAGGAAGCGGCACTACCTCTCCAATCACTCTGGTTTGAAAGGCGTCTCACTCACGCTGCTGGGTCCAACAGGCAGGCATACGCGAGAACCCCATGCACTGGTTGTCGCTAATTGCAAAATCCTCATGTGTTACAGCATGCTAGGAATTAGCCAACAGCTGCTTTTTGCTTCGGTAATGAGGCCCCATTACACTCTGCTGGACTGAGTTCTTTTCCTTCTTCCTAACACTGGTTTCCTGTCTGATTTGCTTCCAAAACGGGGAATTGCCTCCACTCACATCCTGGGCTCAAAGCCCTAGTGACACAGATTATTCAGTTGGGGCACTGATGTCCGGTCTGACTTCCCATCCAGGCCCCAGGGTCGGAGCAAAGCCAAGCAGGGAGGTTACACTATTTCAATGATCAATGTCCCAGACACATTAGCAAAAGAACAGAGAAGAAATCCAAAGGTCCCTTCCTGATTTGGAATAGAAAGAGGTGTTTTGGGGTTTGTTGAATTGGAAAGCAAAGAAACGGGTCTAAGTATAAATGACTCCATCCCATTGGTTAATTAATGATAATTGGAGTCAACACAAACCTCCAACTGGGCTAGGAAGCAAACAAACTTTTCAGGTAAGATTTTAAACTCATCAACTTCATGCTAATTTTAAGAGTGAAATGACTGCACCCTCAATACACAGACTAGTCTTTCTACAGTAGGTGCTTAGGGGAGTACCCAGAAGGTAGAGGAAAGACACAGAAAAGCCATTTGGGGAACTCACCAGGTATGAGGATTCACTTTGAACTAGGTGTCCCTCTTCAGATCCAAAAGACAGCCAGTTTCCATTACATTCTCCAGCTGGGTGCACCCTGGAAGCCCACCCCAGCCCCTGCTGCCTGGAGGGCTTCTAGAGGCCAAGGCCACCACTTTATGGAGCAACTCTTGCTGTGAACGACTTGGCTAGAGATTTCACAGACGCTGACCAAGGTGGGCTTCAGGTTGCAGAGAAAAGCCTGGGTGTTGACCCTGCAGGCTCAAAGAGACTGAGGGGGTGGGGAGCCGATGCCCAGGGCAGATACCCCACCAGTACCTCTCTGGTATTTATAGGCACAGAAACACAGGCACAATCCCTCCAGAGCAAACCAGTCTGGCTGCTTTAGAAGCAGGTTGTTTTTCTGCTTCCAGAACCACCCAGGAGCCCAAGTGATGTCTCTTTCTCCCACTTCTCTCTGCCGGTCTCCTTGCACCAGGTACCCCAAGACCCTCAAGGAGCTCCTCAGAGGCAGTACAGGCTTCTGCCCCGACCCTTACAGGAAACGCGCAGAGCACACAAGCAGCAGCAGAAGCCAATCAAGGCCGGCCCCTTCCTTCCTGACCTTCGCACCTGATTCCCAGAGGCAACCCTCGCCCTCACTCCGGAGTACTTGAAGGAGCCCAACTGTATTTTTGAATACCCAGCCTTTTTCAGAAATGAGTTAAGACTGATGGAGAACAGAAGTGAGGAAGAGGGCTTTCCAGCAGGATCAGGGACTTGGCTGTTGGGAGGGGTTAGTGGGTGCAAAGATTTCCTTGTCCGTACACCACCAAAAGAGGGGAAGGGGGAGGTGGTGGAAGGAGGTAGCAGTCTTCGGGGAGACCTGCAATTACAGGAGCTTTTCTGAATAAGAGGCAGTGAGAAGGGAAGGATCTGTTGACTATTCGAGCCCATTCCCTGCTCCAGTTTAAAAAATAAAAGTGGTGGGGTGGGTGGGGCAGACAGGACAAAAATCCACAACTTACAACTGTGCCCCGTAGGTATTTTCTCACCAAGCGAAGAAATGCAAGGAAAAAAGAGAGAGAGAGGCAGGGCGTTAAGAGAAGCGCGGGGGTCCTCCCGCGCCGCCAGGTGCACCCGGGGCCCACACCTACCTGCTGGCCGCCGCCGCCGCCGCTGGAGTAGGACTCGGCGTGCGCAGGAGAGCCGCTGCTGCCCCGGGACGAGGTGTCAAAGTTCCCAGGATAATCCTGGTACATGATCCGCGGTGGGGGCCGGAGAGGAAACAGGGTGTTTTTCTTCCCCGCCCTCGCCGCGGCCGCGCACAGGCTGCTGCGTGCTCGCTGGTCCGCCGGCCGCGCCGCGGGCTCTAATCTTCGTTCCCTGCCTTTCCCCCACGGCGGCCGGCGCGGACAAGGAGGCGGTGACACCCGGGAAGTGTCCCAGCGCGCCTAGCACGGCACTTCTTTCCTGCTCCGGGAGCGCCTCGGGACCAGTTGTCCACCCGGTCCCTCCCTCTAAAAAGTCGGCGCGTCCCTCGGTCCCTCCCCTGCGCGCGCCCTCCCGCCCCCGCGCTCTGCCGGAGCTCAGCCTGGACCCGCGGCCCAAAGAAAAATTGGAAATTAAAGAACAGGAACCGGCTGAGCCTCGCCTGTCAGTTCCGGGGACCCCCGAATTCAGACAGGGCAAAAAAGGCGAAAAGAAAGGCTGCTCGCTTGGAGAAACTTCTATTTCCTCCTTTTAGAAAATGAGCCCGAGAATAAACTTCCTGTGGCCGACTCGCTGCCTGAGTTTCTGAGCGGCTCGGACACTTGACTGGGAGAAAGCAGCGTGCGCCCGTCCCGCTCCAGAGCGCGCCCGCTGAACTGCGGCCGGTGGGGTTCCAGCTGAGCCGGCGCTGAGAGGGACGTGGCCCCACTCCGGCGCCTCGACCTGCACCCCTTGCCCGGCGCCCGCTCCCGGACTAGCCCGCCTCGCGCGTCCGCGCCTCGCCCTCTCTCTCCCTCTGTCCCTGCCGAGCGCTGCTCGCTCCCCGGTTCTCTTGGAGCCCCTGCGCTCGGCCTGAGATGAGTCACTACAATGGCACGAGTTCAACTCCACACTCTTTATTCTCCAGCTCCGTACCATGTGGATTCACTCACGTCAACCTCGACTCCACCTTGCAGGGAGGAGCGCGCGAGGAGGCGGGGGGAGGAGGCCCAGGAGGAGGAGGAGGAAGAGGCGCGGGAGGGGAGGAGGCGGGCGCAGCGCTCCCCTCACTGGCCCGGCTCTCCGCAGCGCTGACGCCAGCCGAACACCCCGCGCGAGGAAGGAAGGCAGTGGCCAGGGTGGGAGCAGGCAGCCCACAGGGTTTGGGGGAGCCGAGGCAGCCCTGGCCCTTCCCCACCCCCGCCCACCCCCCGGGCCCAGCGCCCTTGGTCTGTTCCATTGGCGCACGTTGCCAAAGATGGTCATTTGCGTTAGAGGACGCGAGTGCGGGTTTCCTCGCTTTCGGGTGACGTGGAGGGAGAGGGATTCCCTCGCCCGCTCTCTTGCGCACCGCGGCCTCCCCCGCCCCGGGAAGGGGCTTGGGGCGGGGCCCCGACAGAGGCCGAGAGGGCCTCAGCTCTAGGTTTTAGAAAACAATCACAGTCCTCAAGACCAGACGGGCGGCTCAGTGCGGCGCCACCGCGAGGCCGGGAACCTAGCTCGCAGAGCCGCTTGCAGGGAGGGCGCGGCCGCGCGCGGTCGTCCGCGCCCTCCGTGGCGCCGCTGGGTGCAGCGGGAACCCTGGGCGCGCAGGGTATCCGCGCCGCCCTGCGGCCGGGTCTTCGCCGGGCGCGGCGCGGCGCCGCCAGGCGGGGCTGGCCTGCCTATCTTTCCCTGCGTGTTGGTCGGCCTACTGCTTCCCTTTTTGTGTGTTTTTGTGTTTTGTTTTGTTTTGTTTTCGGTCCTACAATTAATTTGTTAGGAGTAGCCTTGAAGACGAAATTAGTCAAGACATTCCAGCGATCCTCTGCGCCAGGCAATCAGGACGTAACCAATAGGAGTAATCGGGCCTTATAAGCAAACTCCAGACTGTTAAGAATTAAACAGAGGAACACCAGGGAGAGGGGGAGGCCAGCGAGAGGGTGTGCCCCGAGTTGTCTTCAGCTGTTTGGGAGTGAAGTTCAAGGCACGCGTAGCCAGACTTCTAGGCCTTCCCGCCTCGCTGGGCGGGGCGGGGTGCAGGGTAAAGAGCACAGGGCTTGGAGTACGAACGCCAGGCTCTGCTATTTACGAGCTGTGAGATCTTGGGCGAGTCCCTCAACCTCTCTGGGTCTCAGTTTCCTCCTGTATAACGAAGGGTTTACGACAGATGACCTTCTAAGGCCCTTGTCTGCTCCGGAGCACTAATCCTACGGAGATGATGTGGTGCGGCCAGAAGCGCTGTATCTGGACTTCTGGTCCAGGATCTGCCTTAGCCCTAGTTTACCCAATTCTTAAGTAGTGCTGTCTCTATCCCAAAGGGTCCTTATGAGGACCAAACGAGGAGATGTGTGGATGGGGGTCCATCGCGGATTGTCAAACACCGTGTGTTCTAGTCCTCAGTTTCCTTATCTGTGAAGTGGGGGCGTTACTAGGAAAGAAAAACAGAGCCGGGAACTCGAAGCTTTCCCGGGGCTCTATATAAAGCTCTGGCGTTTCCGGGACGGCTGGCGGCATCTGGCCGCCCCAAGGGCCCCAAGATACGGTAATCCCAAACAATACTCGGGGTCATTGTTTACAGCTATTAAACACATTCTGTCCTGAGCTCCATCCCCAAGGACGTGTGCGCGAGGCGAGGCCGGCCAGACTCCTCGCACCTCCGCGGTTGCCCGCCCCTCAGAGCCTGCAACTCCGCCGGCCCAGATGAGGGGTGTGGGGTAGGCGGACACGCACACAGGCCGTGGGTGCTTGGCTCCCCCCCGCCTTCTTCCCTGCGTCGAGGCCTGCCGGGGTGTTTACGCGCCTCTCCCAGCAGGACTGAGTAAATGCAGTCCTTTGACGCAAAACGGATCAGCCCTTCCCCAGCGGCAGCAGCAAAACCCAGAAAACTGGGGGTGGGGACGGAGGCAGGGCGCGTAAGAAGAAATCGTGACACTTTCCCATTCTCTTCTTAGTCCCCTCCCCGCCCCACGCGGGGCCTTGGCTGCCCTAGGAAGGTCTTGGGGGCTGCAAAGGGAGGTGCGACCCGGGGCGCGCAGAGCCCTCCCAGGAGCAACCGCGTGTCGCAGAGGCGCTATCAGACGCACTTTTGGTTTTTCTTTGAGCAGCAGCGGCTGCCTGACCCTCCCCCATCCTACACTCTGAAATCCGGGCGCTTCTGGGTCTCTCCCACACAGTCTTTCCAGTAATGCAGGGGAAAAGGAGGAGGGGGAAGGGGAACAGGAGCTTCCTCCACGGCCTCAGCCGTCCCGGGCGCGCCCAGCCACTGGCAGGCGCCGCCGGGAGCGCGCCTGCGGGCGAGCTCACCCTCGCGCCCTCGCCCGCCCCCTCCCTGCCCCCTCCCCCAGTCCTTTTCCTTTCTTGTGGGTTCCCGTAAAGCCCAGCAGCCCCCAGACGTCTGCAGAGCATCACGGAATCTGTGCTGATGCAAGTCGCTAGCCTCCCTTTGGTGCGCCCCGGCCTGTCTCTGAGCGCTTTGATCCCGGCCTTGTCCAACTCCAGAATTTGTGCTCTTCTCTGCCCGCCGGAGGCCTGCGTTCGCAGCCTGCCCTCACCTTTCAGTCCCTTCAGCTCCAGACAAAGCCGCGAGCTGCGTGCGCCCTAGTGCTGCCGCAGGACTGGCCTCCCCTGGCAGCTGGTACCTGGGTGAAAACTGCCTGCCCAACGGAGAACACAGCCGCAAGCCAGTTCAGTGTCCCACTTCTTGGGAAATCCTACAGGGGTCGCCCAGTTAGGAAGGGTCCTCTGGCTCCCTGGAGCAACAGATGCTACGAAGAATTAAGGGGGAACTTTTACTGAGCGCTTAACCAGTCAGGCATGGTGCTGAAAACTAGGGCTGTCTCAAGTCACCCTCACAACATTTGAGGCCGGTTGTACTCCCCGCATTGCAGCGGGATTAAGTAACTTGTTCAGGGCAGTTGGTTAGTGGGTCGTGACCAGTGGACGTGCAGCCGGGATTCTTTGCCACCGGGCTCCCTTTTTTCTTTCTTTCCTTTTTTTTTTTTTTTCCTTCCTCCTTTGGTACCAGGGATTGGACCAGAAGCACCTAATCACTGAGCCACATTCCCAGCCATTTTTATATTTTATTTAGAGACAGGGTCTCGCAGAGGTGCTTAGGGCATCCATAAATTGCTGGGGCTGGCTTTGAACTTGCAATCCTCCTGCCTCAGCCTCCTGAGCTGCTGAAATTACAGGTGTGCACCACCACACCTGCAGGGCACCAGGCTCTTTGTTTTACTCAGGTTGTGGGGTTACCTGTCTTCTACTGGGACATCTTTGTCTCTTACTGATCTCAAAAACATGGACAGTCACATGGCTTTAATTTAGAAAATCTTCTTAAAACTCTGCTGAATAAATAAACAGCTCCAGCTCATCACTCTGCACTGAGAAAGGGTTGTGTCAAATGAGAGAGGGGAGAAGGTAAACTTCGGTTGTCTTCTCAGTGCATTTCTAGGACCTTCCTTCCCTCCTTTGCCAGTTTCTTTGTCCATTTAGCCCACCATTTGGCTCCTGAGAGGTGACTTGGTATTCAGAGTGACTGCGCCCTCTGGGCTATACTGGCCCACACATTTGAGCGCTGGACACTCATGAAGCCCTTCCCTGTGTGTGGCCTCACTTGTTCCTTCACACAACATCCCTGCCAGGGATAAGGACAGCAGTCAGGTTGACTCTGGTTAGCCAGAGAACAGAGTGACTGAGCAGCCTACTCAAGATTGCCCAGCCTGTGGGCGTCTAAACCTGAACACAAAGCCATCTCCCCAGACCTTAAACCCAGTGCTCTGCCAACCTTAAAAGGTTAGGAGCAAATTCTACTGCTTAATAATAAACTGCCCCCTATCCATCATGCCTGAGCAAATTTGCCATTATTTCTTTAAAGTAAATCATAGATTTTGATGGTGTTTTATCATTTCTGAAAGCCAGATGCATCTTGTAATTGATAACTGCTATGACAGTGTTCC